AAAAAAAAAAAAAAAAAAAAATCGTGTATTTTCAGGAAGAAATTTTATTGTTTAAAAATATCAAGTGCTGCATGATCCCCCAGTCAGATAAGAACCAGTAGCTTTTACCATCAGTACTCTTCTTACCTAGTTTTTTAAGCCCTGCAATTTTTTGAATCTCACAACGAAGATATTTATTCAGATAACATTTAAAAGTTAATGTGGTCTCTGTTCTCTTTCTCACAAAGGCTTCATACATTTAGGAGTATCCTGTAATCAGATTACAACACTTCATGGATCTCTCAGAAGATTTTGTAGCACAGGACTCTGACGAAGTCATGCTAAGCATGATAAATTGCACAGTAGGCAACCACTGTGCCACTGAGCTCTATCCCCAGCCCTCATCACCCCTTCTTAAAAGATAAAATTTACCTGAACACAGAACTTAGTTGGTAATAGGTTTCTTTCAAAAATTAAAAAAATGTTAACCCATCCAAGTTTAGCAGAGTGCTGAGGGATCATGTCCACAGTCACGATATCATGGAGACATGGCTGTCTTTCAAGTTGTTTTTCCTTTGTATGTTGTTTCAAATTTCTCCAGAGGCAGGAGCAAGGAGGAAGGTGTTTGTACTCTGGTATCATCTGGGGAGAAGTGTGAAAAGGAGAATTTGGCGTAAGGAACTGACTCACATGACTGCAGGGCTGGCAAGTCTGAAATCAGCAGGGCAGGTTGGAGGACTGAGGAGGAGCAAAATTTTCAGCTTGAGTCTGGTTACGTGTGGCCCACCTTCATTGTGGAGGGTCATCTGCTTTACTCACAGTCTACTGGTTTATAGACACAGTCATATCTGAAAAATACCTTCACTGCAGCATTTGTGCTAGAGTTTAACTAGACAGCTGGATATGTAGCCAACCAAATTGACCCATGAATTAACTATCATACACATAATGTGTAGTTTTTCTCTTTAAGGGCTGCCTCTTTAATGTCAAATAAAATCATGTCCTAATAAAAGGATTTTAAAAATATTATGGGGATGGAAAGATGGCTCAGTGGTTAAGAGCACTGGCTTCTCTTCCAGAGGATCGAGGTTCGGTTCCCAGCACCCACACGGTGGCTAGCAATTGTATGTAATTCCAGTTCTAGGGGATCTGATGCCTTCTTCTGACCTCTGCGGGCATTGCAAGACATAGGTGCTCTTACATACATGCAGGCAATACTCTCTTATAAAATAAAAATAATAAATAAAACATTTAAAATCATTATGGAAAGAACAGCCTAATAGATTAAAAAGGGCATATACAAAATTATGGGAATTATGAGAGCAAGAAATATATCTTGTAGACAGATGGACAATAGACTACTAATGAAAGGAATGTAAAATCAAAGCAACACATACCACGTTTACCATTTACTAGGGCAATGTTTAAAAAGAATGTACTACTGGAAAATCTGCAGTGAGGTCACACTTCCACACTTGCTTACAGGAACTCATTCTTCACTTCGTAAAATTTCACAGGAAACATAAGGTGTTAATATCCTTTAATATAGTGAAACGAAACCACCCCTAGCATTCTAACAATGACTTGCCATTCTAGACAGCCTAGTATATTTTTTCACACAGGCTTTCAGGGTGCCATTGATATTGATGGACACCTGGGACTGACTATACTGTGGTAGACAAATTCTAAGATGTCCCTCCACTAATATTCCAGGCCCCTTGTTATCACCTGTGATGGGATCATGTGTCACACCTAATTGTACCAGGGGTGGGGTGATCTGACACACAGACCTCCTATGTTAAGAAACATAGACCAGAGAGCTATCTTTGCCTGGCAGCAGCACAAGCTGAAGCAATCTGAAAGATGGTTTTGTCCAGCCATTGATGTCCTGAGTCCAGTCTGAGGATTGAGCTAGCCCTATGACTAGGAACAGGGGAGGGTTAGGATCTCAGAGCAGAGAAACACTCCTTTGACAGCCAGAGGGAAACAAAGCCTCAGACCTACAACCACAAATAAGACAGATTAGAGAGACTCATTCTCCATGGGGCACTGGAGTAGGAGTTAGGTAAAGTTCAAACACTACTGAATACAGTACATTACTATTAATGTTAATGATAGACCTCATTTTGTATAAGCACTCTTCTTAAAGTTTGTTTCCTAAGCTAGGATTTTTGAGGACCAGTACAATTTGACTCCCAAATTCTAAGCTGTTAGGATCTCTTCCCTGGTGCCCTGGCTGCCTTGAGAACAGGAATATCAGTCCAGTAAGGTCAGATTGCTTTCATGGCAGCCTGGCTGCTTCAAACACTCCACTGATGCCTTGAGGAAGCTGCGCAGCAACCATAGCTGCTTGCTGACAAAGGTTCTAGAATATACTATCCACACACAACTTTCAGCTTCCAATGGACCTTCTGTTATCACAAGAGTTGATGGACTCTAGATGTTTCTACTTACCCAGGAACTATTCTCATGCACTAGTAGTCTCTGGGTATTAAAATAGAAGGCCTGTGATTTGTGTAACATACTCCTTCATTTGCATGAAGGTCTCCTGTGGTTGGTGAAAACACAGGCCTCCATTTGCATGAGAGACTTTTTTGCAATTGGTGTAAACACAGTCCTTCATTTTCATGAAGTTCTGCTGTGATTGGTGCAGACACCTTTGCCTCACTCTCCTTCCTGGCTAAATAGGCTGTTGGCTTGCTGATGAGTCAGCTGAGAGAGCCTCCTGTGCTGCCCCCTGTGATGGCAACCTTAGGCACAATAAAAGCTTTTCTTGCTACTTCTGATTGCAGGCCTAGCTGGTAACAAGAAGAGAAGGTGGTGGAAGTGGCAGCCGAGACACCAAGGCTAGCAGAAGACTTTCCGTGAGTGGTCACAGCAGAAACAGGCAGCAGAGGCAATGGAAATGATGATTGAAGAGCTGAAGATGAGAAGCTGTGGACCTGTCACTGGAAGTGCTCAGGGAGTTGCCCATCCTCAAGAGCTAAGAGTCTCAGAACTCCTGGTCCTCCTGCTGGGGGTACCTGTGTGCCAGCACCCTGGTGAAAGTGGTGTTGGGTAATGGAAGCCAGATCCTTTGGCATGCTAGGCCAGCACTTGACCCACAGAGCTACAGCTAAAAGAGCTGTAACAGCTGTCCTAGTTCCCAAGGCCCGTTTTAAGAGTTGTAACACTAGCAGGCACTCCATGCGCTGCCTTCTGCTGCTGGTGGCCACTGCTAGCTGATGCTGAAGCCAACAGCTTGGGGCAATAAGATTCTAACCTGAGTGTCTAGAAGCAGAATATCTGGCTTCTAGAGAAGCCAAGATAGCAGTAGGCGCCCAAGGCCTGGAGCTGTAAGCTGATCGTTCTTCCATTACTAAAGTGCTTCCTATTGTTTACTTGTGATTTCTACCAGAGTACAACAAAAAGACCCCACTAGTCATAGGTGACACAAGAAACAGATTCAGCCAACCTCAACAAGCCTAGAGGGAGATTTCTGCCCAGCAATTCCAGATGAGAATTCATCTTACCTCAAGAGATCCCAGAGAGAACCCAGGTGAACTGTCAGGACAGGGATATGATAAAAGGGTATGGTTGTGAGCCACAGGAAACTAAAGTAGGAAACCAATCCACTAATTTAACAGAGAGTGATTTCTAATAGAAAACAAGCAAAGGAGCTGCCCCTCCATGGGGAGCTTAAACACAGGACAGGTCTTGCATGTGGTTAGAAATTCATTCTCTGAACCACGCTCCATAAGAAGTGGGTGTAGGTGTTTGGGCACTATGCATAAACGTGACACATTAGAGGAAAGAAGCATGACTGTGAAAGGTCAGATAGAGGGAGCAGCTCCTCAGACTTTGAGGGCATTTTAAATTGAAACTACTAGGAAAAAGAATGCATTTCTTTTTGTCATAGGTTTTATAACTATATGTTCTACAAAATATGTAGACTTGCATACTAGCAAGACTTAAATAATTTTCATGTCAAATAATCCATGCTTATCTCTAAGGAATCACTGTGTATCAATTATCAATAGATTAATTTAGGAATTGTACTGTTTGTACAGCCTGAGCTAGCAGCACTGTTTCACAAGTATCAGTCTAAGAATGCCCTGTCGCCTGTTCTCAGTTTCTCTCACAGCCACCTCTCCTCCTGAGCACACAGAAAGTGTCAGAAGTCAAAGGTGACCCTGCACCATCTGCACATCCTGGCACTTGGGCAGCTGTACAGTTCCTTCTTTAGCTGGATCCTATTTGGTATCTTACTGTGAACAGAGTGTATGGACTGTCTATACTGCCTTGTTTGTGACATATCCCAGAAAACGGCACTTTTAGAATAACTTTTAACAATAATTTTATTTGTTTGTGGACTCATGCATATGTGGAGGTGAGAGGAGAACTTGCAGGAATTGGTTCTTCCTTCCACCAGGTGGGTTCCAGGGATCCAACTCAGGTTACTCAGGTTGTCAGGCTAGGCAGTCTTGCCTGCTGCAACATCTTGCCAGCCCTGAAAATGACATTTGAATCACTTCAGCTGGAGTGTCTATGAGTAAATGCAGGGACTCTAACTGAGCAAATAGTAATT